ATTCATAGCCAAAATCGAGATCGACATCAAGAGCGAACCTCGACATTTCCACACTCTTAGGCATTAACGCCTTATGAAATCCGATCTTCGCCATTAATTTCTCCATGGCAATACCCGACAACGCATATCATGAACAAATTGATGTCAAATTTGAGGAGCCAAACTATAGTGTAGCAGCATTTGCCCTCAAGCTTCTGTTAAGAATTCTATGGGTTTTATCTGCAGAATTAAAAATAAGAAAAAATAACGGTACCAAGGAAAATATCATCAGCGAATCGCACGTACATCTACATGGCAGTTCAAAGAGAAATATTCCACTATGAATCAAGAGTACATCAAAGTTATACCTTAAACTTGATGATTAAATCACAAGAGAAAATATAGTGTTACCTCTAAGGTACCAAAACCCTAAGACCTATCTCACCATAATTTTCCAACACCCGCGAAGAAACCAACACCGTACTCTTGACGGCATCGTCATTCCGAAGAAAATAACTTTTGAATCACTGCAATTGGACAACCAAGCAATCCGAAAATTAACCTTTTCTCTTCCTCTCTTTTTTTCTCTCTTCACCTCTCGAAAACAACGCCCTCACCTAATCTCTGTTTTTGGTCCTGTTGTCTACATGGTTTTCAATGAAGCCTTCCCCTTTAATGAGGGATAATTATACATACGCGCTCTTGTAGCTAATGACTTTACACAGAAATATGGCATTAAGTATGACGAGTCGTTTGCTCCTATGGCCCAGACGACTATTGTTCATACACTTCTTGTAGTTGTAGCGGTTCATAATTGCCAATTTTCCAATTGGATGTTAAGAACATTTTCTTAAATGGCGACATCTCTAAGGATATTTACATGCTTCCGTCGGATGGCCTTCCACATCATCTTGAGCAGGTATTTCATCTCCTTCGAGAACTTTATGATTTAATACATGCTCCTCGTGCCTAGTTTACTTGATTCACCTCTAATATCTAAGGTGCCAAATTCAATTGTAGATGATGCGGCTATGTTCACCCACACCTTTGAGACTATTCTTCTCCTGTAGTATGTTGACGACATGACTACTAATGATCACTCATCATCTCCTATATAGCATATCAAACAACTTTTGAATCAACAGTTTGATATGAAGGATCTTGGAGAACTTATTTTCTGGGGTTTGAAGTTGGCCATTCACCTCAGGGATATATTCTCTCACAACATTGGTTCCTTACATATATTTTAAATCACTATGAGATGAGAAATACTAAGACTTCACCTACACCTCTTGAGCTTAATGCTATGCTCCGTCTGACTGCTAAAGAGCCTTTATCTGATCCTTTCGCTACCATTAACTTGTAGGGAGTTTTATTTATCTGATGAGGATAATAATGACAATTTTCCATATTTGTTATTTGACTTTATTTTATTTTATTTTTGAATAAGGAAGATTTGACAAGTTTGACCAAATCTTAATTTTAGTTTTAATTGTGAGAGATTTGAGGGATTTTTTATTTTGGTAGGATTTTAATTTTAAATTTTGAATTTTGAATTTTAAATTTTTGGGCTAAATTTGGTAGTAGAGTCAGTTGTGGCAAATTGAGTGATTTGAGAGATTTCAGAATCTGTAATTTTCTCTTTAAAAAACTGCTATAATCAGATTTTAAAAAGAAGATTTGAATCAATAAAAAATTTTTGTTAACTCATTATTGGTGTGAAGTCTCGGGTGTGAAACCTTTGGCCGACGGATGTGAAACCCTAGGCCGACTCTCCTGGCTCCTTTTCCACAAACAGCCGCCACCCTCCCTTGTTTCTTCTTCGTTTTTTCAAACAACCGCCCCCGCTCTTCTCCTCTAGCAGCCTCCGTCGTCGCCTCCTCCCCTGCTCCCTTCCACTTCGAGCAGCCTCGCCAATCATCCCCCACTTCGAACAGTCCTGACGAACATACTCCTGCTCTCCTCCACCTCGAGCAACCACCCTTTCCTCCTCCACAAACTGCCAGATCCACCTCAAATAGCCGCCGTTGTCGTCTCGCTCGCGTCCACTTGTCGACCACGTTCTCTCGTCACCAACGTCGTCAGTTTACACGTTGACCCGTCACCCTCGTCGTCGCTTAGATTCGCTGCCGTCGTTGTCGCTCAGTTCGCCACCATTGTCATCGCTCAGTCGTCGCCGTTATCGTCGCTCAGTTCGTCGCCGCGTCGTCATCCAGTTCGACGTCGTCGCACTACCTCCAGAGGTCCCTCAAGTCGAGCCTGTTCAGGCCGACGAAGGTTTCGTTTTCTCTATTTTTTTATTAATCTCATTTTATTAGTTAATTGCATGAGTATTTCATCTCTAAACTCTTATCATATATTCATTGCTTAGATTATATTTGTGAGTTGAGAGTAATTGAGCATGTGACTGTTAAAATTTGATATTGATTGTAGAACTTGTGCATGATAATGAATATTGCAATTAAATTGATTGAGATGTGAATTGTTCATAATTATTGATGCAAACTTTGTTAAATCTATCTGTCACAATAGTTGTTTTGAATTTAAGTCCTACCAAAGATCAAGAAATTTGGTGAAACGATGTGTTATTTGAATTAAATCGCTGATTCTGATAGACCCCCTGTCCCGTTTCACATCATTATCCCACCATCAGCCGATCTAATATTGCTTATCCTGTGCATATCATCAGTCAGTTTGTCTCGGCTTTTTTTAAAGATCACTATGTAGCTCTTCTTCACATCGTTATCTTCGAGGAACTTTAAGCCGATCTCTATTTTTCTCTGCCTCCTCTCATCTTGAGTTGTCAGATTACTGTGATGTTGACCGGGCTCTAGATGTTTTGATCTTCGCTTGACAACTAGATACAATATATTTTCTGGAGATTTCTTTGACTTCCTAGAAAACAAAGAAGCGGGATGTTAGAAAACAAAGAAGCGGGACGTTTCTTGTTCCACTCCTAAAATTGTTCTGCTTCATTGGTTGCATTGTAACATGAGGGTGTCTTCAACTGCTTCCACTCTTCTCCATATGAGCATATCAAGATTGTCAGCAATCTCATATTTCTTGAGCATATCAAGATTGACTGTCATTTCACATGTCATCACTTTATAAATGACACTATTTCCTTACCTTATCAACTCGCATATGCAGTTAGCAGATTTTTTCCCCCACTAAATCTCAGACCCTCCAAGGTCATCTCTTTTACATAAGCAAACTCTTGTTGATTGATCCACAACGAGTTTGAGGAGGGTGTTGAAGTATATATAATGTCCTTCATTTCACTATGTGTAAACAAGTGGTATGTACATTTGCATATTTGGCATTGAGTCTAAGGAAACACATACAGAGATTTCCCCAATATTCTGTTTTTATTGAGAAAACCTCTCAAAGGTTGATCACAAGAGATTCTCCGAGGGGCAGCAGCAAAAAAAGCTCCAGACTGGAATATGCATAGAACAGAGATGCTCACAACAAATAATCAAAGCTACGAGAGGGCATTGAGAATGACATATTCTAGTACAGACCTCCCTTTTAAACACTTTTTCCCGAAGAGACTCCTGTTCCTTTGTAACTCCCCGCCCCGGAATTCCGGAGTCGGTACGCTATTAGATCTAATGGACTGGCCTCACAAACCACCACATGTCTTTTCAGCACGTTTTGTCCTCACTCACGTGCTCTCTGGAAAACTTCTCAGGGAGTCACCCATCCTAGAATTTCTCCAAGCCAAGCACGCTTAACTTTGGAGTTTCTAAGAATTGGGTTTTCGAAAAGAAGATGCATCTTGGTGGTATGAGTATTTCAATCAAATCTATCAATACTAATCACATCACCCTCTCAAGGGTTGGGGTATTACAAACTCCCCCACTTAAACTCACAACGTCCTCGTTGTGCCAAATCATATCATCCAAGACCGTACCATCCGTGTGAGATTCTAGAGGTGGCTCCTACGGCCTCGAGAGGTGGTTCCCGCCCTCTCGACGTAGCACTTTGCGCCGCATAGCACTTAGCTCTCACAATTCCGGTTGGCTTGGCTCTGATACCAATAAAACCATGTCACGCCCTGGGTCCAAAACATGATAATTTGGAGCGTGACTCGGTCGGCAATGCAACCATACGGTTACATTCACGCCTCTGGATCATCCTGTATACAGATATATATTTTGTAACTCCCCGCCTCGGAATCCCGGAGTCGGTACGCTATTAGATCTAATGGACTAGTCTCACAAACCATCACATGTCTTTTCAGCACGTTTTGTCCTCACTCACGTGCTCCCTGGAAAACTTTCCAGGGGGTCACCCATCCTAGAATTTCTCCAGGCCAAGCACGCTTAACTTTGGAGTTTTTAAGAATTGGGTTTCCGAAAAGAAGATGCATCTTGGTGGTATGAGTATTCCAATCAAATCTATCAATACTAATCACATCACCCTCTCAAGGGTTGGGGTATTACATCCTTTCCTGCCGGACATGATACGCACTTGCAGCCAAGCAAGCGTTGAAAACTTGTGCTTCCCAGTTTTGCCCCTGAATTTTCCAACTGCATATGCAAAAACACAAACAAAGAACATATAGATGTTTAGCACACTCAGGATGGGGGTCACACAGAGCACAAACATTACTATCAAGTTGAGACTAGGAGTTCATCAGATTAAGGGAGCCCAAAGTCACAGAGCCTCTTTGAGAATGATATAGACGTAAACAGGAGACTCCCATTACTTTGGGGCCTTCCACAAAAAACTAAATGATGTGGGTTATACTGAAAAAATAGTCAGACATAACTCTTCATGTGATAGATCATAGATGACATGAAAGTAAGTATTATGACAGGTTACTAATTCAATATAATTTCGTTCCTAATTTCACGCATTATCTTTTTTATGTTTGTTTAGATTAATTTAAAGTATAACAAAGGTTATGGTTACCGTGATTTGACAATATTCATATCATGAGTTTAATAATACTATAATGCTTAATAGATAAACCAGTAAATGTACATAATCTGTTTACACTCTCCTTGTTTCAGGTCCTCTAAAATTTGTAACTGCAAAGTACGATGGCAGGTTACCATCTTTGGCATATCATCGTTATGGTTGGACAAAGGTCAACTTTCTGCCATAGTTTAAGTGGTGCAATCCTTTTTTGTGGCTCCATATATTTTTTTTAATTTTATTTGAAAATTTAGATTGCGAATATCATCTTTCTCGACTCTCCTGTCGGAACTGGATTCTCATTCTCTAGAAATCCTAAAGGCTATGTGGTTGATGACACAATTGTATCAAAACGGACCTACGAGTTTCTGAGGAAGGTATTATTACATCTTGTTATCAGTTCCTACGAGCAAAACATAACTTTATTATTTACCTTGGAGCATAATATTGAGCACATCCCATAATGCCACAGTGGCTTGTCGAGCACCCGCGTTTCATTTCCAATCATCTCTATATTGCTGGTGATTCATATGGAGGAAAAATTGTTCCGATTCTCACTAGCATAGTTGCAAATGGTAAAGTTGCTTATTCTAATCCTCCCATTCAATGCATTTAATAGAAAATTGAGAGAAATTTCTCTTTATTATTATTGTTGTTGTTGTTGTTGCTAAGAGTACTTCACTAATAATGGAAAATTATTTCCAATCTTGTTGGTTTATTTTTCCAGCTTGATTGAATAGAAGTGAGGGTTCTGACAAAATTCTTTATGGACAACAGGTATTGAAGATGGCCATCATCCGCTCATGAATCTCAAGGTATATATTTAGGGAAAAGTGTTCCTAAGGTGACGCCCTAGATAATCATCTAAGGACGCAGCTTAAAATCACATGATTGAGCTACATTTTGGATGATCCGTTCCGTTGAACTTGATCTACATATTCTAAAACCCCAACACACTAAGTTTGGGGTGAACCCATCGTCGTTTGACCCTCCATCGAGTCATGTGAAAAGTTCTATTCATTTGAAACCGTTAAAATTGATACGAGTGGATGGAGCGTCAAACGACGATGGGTTCACACCAAACTTGGTGTGTTGGGGTTTTAGAATATGTAGATCAAGTTCAACGGAGCAGATCATCCACAATGTAGCTCAATCATGTGATTTTAGGTCACGTCCTTAGATGATTATCTAAGGCGTTAGCTTAGGAACATTTCTCTCATATATTTAACATGTTACGATAAAATTGTCATTCCTCAAAAAAAAAAAAAATCATTACATAGTATTGGTTTCTATCGTTGAAGATCTTCACTTATTAGATTTAAATTTTCTTTTTTATTCTTGCAAACGTTATGCAGTGGCTATTTCTTTTTCTTTTGGTTATGTACGTAATGAGCACACTCAGGTCTTTCTGATTCAGCTGCACTCAATACATGATCTCTTCAGTTATTAAATACAGGAGTTTGTTAGATATGTTAGTGGTATAACACTCACTCCCAACCCTTGTGGAACTCTTAACCGTTACAAAATCCTCTTCAACATTCCATTTCCTCAAAAATCTGAAAAAATATGAAAATTTCTCACAATTTGATAACAAGCACATCCAAGTAGCCACTTGAAGCAAAACCTATTTTGCTCACCACTTAAAGCATAGCCTATTTTACTCACCACTTGAAGCATTGCCTCAAGGTCTTGTTAGTAATTCTTATTAGAGATTGATTAGAAATCTAACCTTTCTTTTAGGGTTTACTGCATAAAATTGTTAGCGAAATAACAACAGAGTACATATAAAAACTAGAATGCAATTACAGAGCAAGAAGATGTGATTTACATGGTTCAGCAACTTGCCAAACGTCCATGGGAAAAAGGAGAAGACTTTTTATTTTTGAACTTTATCAAGAAGAAGAATTGCAAGATCTCTCAAACTATAGCTTGCAAATCCTCACAAAAAGTTAATCTCTCTTCTCTCTCTCTCTTTTGGTCACTGTAAATTTGATGGGATTAAAATTATAACTTGTTGGGAGAATCCTATTTATAGAGTTCTGGATATAACAATGATGACAGAAAAATACTCGGAAAACCCAAATTGTAGACGTATTTTATCGGGTCAGGTGTGCCTAATGCACATTGTCCATGCTCTAGACTTGGATAGTGTGTGGTGACACTATCAAACCTCTAGATTGTGACAGTGTGCAGTAAACTATCGGCCGCGACTGCTGCCGCTTGCTACTTCAATGTGAAGCTAATCACAATAATCTCCTCACTAGCTCAGATTGACTTTGTCTCCCGTTCTCCACCTTCACAGCTCCACTTTATGTCATATACTGTCCTCAAAACTATGAGTAACTATAATACCTTCACGACTCCTCTTGATATCGTTACCTTCCTCAAAATCATGAGTATATTGTACATCAACCATGACCTCTATCGCGGTCTTTATCTGTGACCTCGTGTTGTCCTCAATTAGTGAGTGCCTAAATGAATTCCAAGGATGCCTTAACACTTCTCTATAGTACATGACTATCTTTGTCATGATGTCAGCCGGATTCTACCTTGTATCAAGCTTCACCATCTTGATGTCCTTTCTTGCCTCACACTCTAATATGTGAAGCCTTGTCTCAATGTGCTTTGACTTCTGATAAAACACTTGATCCGTCACTAAATAAATGACACTTCTGCTGCTACAAAATAACTCTACGGTAGTAGTCTTGAACCCAAATTCACAAACCAACCCCTTCAACCATTAGGACTCCTTTAGTTGCTTCAACTTTCGTTGTGTATTCTACTTCTGTCATCAGATGTGCAATAATAACTTATAGCTGTGACTTCCTACTCATCAGCCCATCTCTAACTATGAATACAAAGCCTGTAGTCGATCTTTGATGATCGAGGTCCCATGTGTAGTCTAAATCTGCGTAACCCTTCAACTCGATTGGCTTCTCCTTCTCATTCTAAAATAATAGCCCAAGTCGTGTTATACCTTTGAGATACTATAGTATCCACTTCACCACCTCTGAATAAGGCTTCCCCATATTTAACATGTATTTGCTTTCCAAACTCACCATGTATGATGAGTTTGGCCTTGCATACAACATAACATACCTGAGTGATGCTACTGCATTTGCATATGGCACTTGAGACATTTTTTCCTTCTCCTCGTCTGTATTTAGACACATGTATGAGGATAATCTTAAGTGATTGGCAATAAGGGTGCTTACCAGTTTCATCTTCCTTATGTTCAATCTCTAAATCATCATTATTTTTATATATTTCTGTTGGGATAAGAAAAGCTTTTCCACTTGTCTTGATAAATCTCCATCCTATGGATCTTCTTGGCTTCACCCAAGTCTTTTATGTCGAGCTCCTTGCTCAATCAAGCCTTCAAACTCTAAATCTCTTAGTAACTCCTTGCCGCAATCAGCACGTCATGCACATACAACAACAAGTATATGAATGCTCCCTCATCATATTGCTCGATGTAAAGGTAATTGTCATGCTTATACCGAGTGTATCCCATCGCCAATTTGAATGAGTCAAACCACTTGTATTACTGTCATAGAGATTGCTTCAGCCTGTAGAGTGATTTCTTGAGAATACATATATTATTCCCTTTCCCTTCCTCTATATAACCTTCAGACTGCTTCATGTGGATAACCTCTTCTAGCTCTCCATGTAAGAATGTTGTTTTAACGTCAAGTTGCTCTAACTCTATGTCATGCTCTATTATTGCTTCTATCAAGACTAGAATTGATGTATGCTTGACCATTGAGAAAATATCTCATTGTAGTCAATCCCCTCCTTCTGAGCATATCCCTTCTCCACGAGACATGTCTTGTACCGTTCATTGTCCTTCTTTTTGAATACCAACTTGCATCCAATAGATTGCTTCTCCTTTGGTAGTGTGACTAGATCCTAGATCTCATTCTTTCGAAGTGACTCCATTCTCCTCTATAACGACAATCATCCAATTGTTTCTGTCCTTTCTATTGAGTGCTTCTTTATAAGTGCTTGGGTCACTGCTCGTTATAACTAGAGGAAATGCTACACGTTCATCTTTGAAACCATACCTGATTGGTGCCTTATGGGTCCTTCTTTGTCATCCCTTAGTTATAGAATACTTTTGCTTGGGTTGAGTTTCCTCATCACTATTTCTAACTATCTACTCGTCCATATCTACCTCTTCCTCCTGAGTTACATCTCCTATGTCCATACCGTTAATCTACTTCATGCCAGTTATGTGCACATGCATTGATCTTTCACCTCTTCGTTGCTCTCCTTTCATGGTTCACGTTCATCATCACCCAACATGTACTCATGAAAAGTGACATCTATGCTGATAGAAGTAGTCTTACATTCTAAATCCTATAACATGAATCCTTTGACGTCCTTCTGAAACCTTCCTTGACATTGCATCCAGTTTGCTTCTTTTATTCCTATCCACTAGATCATATTAAGGGAGCTTAAACATTCTCAAGAAATTATAACTGACTAGCTCTCCCATCCACACTTCTTCTGGGATCTTAAGATTGATGGAGGTCGATGGTGAATAATTGACCAAATAACATTCATGATTCACCTTATGCCTGAAAGCCCTTTGACTATCCGGATTGTAGTCTCATGCTTTTGATTTTCTCCACTAGTACCTGATTCATGCGCTCTGCTACCTTGTATAGTTCTGGTCCCACTGGTGTTATCAGCTGATGTTGTATGGCTTGTTCTACATAATTTCTTGAACATGAGGTGTATTCACCCCATTATCTATCGTCCAAGTACTTAATTTGTTGCCTCATCTGCTTCTCCACGGTGGTCTTCCACTTCTTGGACTTTTGGAACACTTGAGGTATATGAGTTAGAAAATAAATCTATATCTTCTATTAGAAGTCATTGATGAACGTGATGAAATATTCTACAATGCCTTTGGACCTTGTCGATGAAACCCCTCCCTCCCAGTTCTGAATGAATGTAGTCTAACAAGTGTTTAGTCTTGTTCACTGCTACACTGAATCTTACCTTATGTTGCATTCCCATCATGCTATACTTGCAAAATTAGAGCTCTCTCTCCGTAACTCCTTTTAGCAACTCCTCCACATGCAGTATCCAAAGACCCCTTTCACTTGTATACCCAAGATACATGTGCGAAAGCTTTGAGGTGTCTCAACTTCTTTTATTTTGTAGTCCTAATCAAAGTATCATTGATCATCGTGCTCCCGATCAACCTTAACAAGTGCGCCTTTGATCAACTTCAATGTTTTGCTTCACCCATGAACTTGCATCCTGTACTCTCAAGGGCTCCAAGAGAAATTAGGTTCATTTTCAACTCCATAACGTGCCGTATGTTCTTTAAAGTCCATACCACCCCATCGCACATCTTCACCTTGATGTTGTTGATGTCAACTGTCTTGCAAGTTGAGTTGTTCTTAACAATTGTCTCACTATTGTAGTCCTCATATGTGTCGAACCACTCCTTGTGAGGGTATGTAAAATATATGCATACCGAATAAAGAATCCATACATCATTGAGCCCTTCCTAGTAGATATGGTTAACACATTGCTATCTTTCTTGATCTCCTCGATCTCCTCTACTTCTAAACCTACGCTGACTTGATCTAGTTGCTTCTCACTATTATTTGGCGATCTCCCCTTTTGTTGATTAGGATCTAAATCGCTTTTATCCTTGATTACTGCCTCTCTTGTTGTGCGCGGCGCGGAAGCGGTCGAATCACACAATCCGAACAAGAGAGATCACAACCAAATAAACAAGCACAATCACCAAATAACACAAGAGATTTACGTGGTTCGGCAAGTTACCTACGTCCAC